AAGGCCTCCTAATGTGATTACCTTCAATATGTTCCATTTTGGTGATTACTTGAATTAATTTATATTTTTCCAATTTTTATCAATTTTAAATAAGAAAAATACATTAAAAAGATTTTAAATTTGACTTTCTTTTTCTTAGAGTCCTCTTACCACAGTAAACCTACCTAAGCTAATTTTAAATTTTTCTAAACTTTATTTTATTTTTTATAATTTCTTTAATTAAAATAATGTCAAATATTTCAAAAATTATGGCTCTTGATCATAGAAATGTCCTCTGACCTTGAAAAAATCAAAGAAGGCTCCTAAGTTCATTAAGAGTTGACCCCCAAAATTTCATTTAATGTAAATACATATTTAATTATTTATGAGTTAATTACCTTCTGGGGTATTTAATTTATTTAAAATAAAATGCTTAATAAATATTTTTTTATTTTTGATTTAATAAATTCTCCTTTATTCACTGAGCACAGAGGAAGGGTATTTTTCATTTATTTTTATGAATTTTCTACACCAAGATATGAATTTTTAAAGTTTTTGTAATTATTTAATTACAAAATACCCTAATTTTCTACTTATCTGAGTCAGCGTCAGTGCAACCTTAACCTCTCCGAAGTTTCACGCATTGGCATTTGATTCGCTGCGTTTTCCACGTAGCCTAATGACTGTGCCAGCGGATCACGTAACGTTGTGATGTCCATCTCAACCGTCCATCCAATACACGTGGAAATGGACGACATCCGCTCATCATCCCCGATCGTCTTAACCCGAGAATCGTCCGCGTTCTAATCCTAATATCTCGTTCGATACTCAGTCAAATCACTCGCGATTTGTTCCTACACCTTCATCTAAGTGAGAATAACCTATCTATACGATTAAATACATATAAAATACGTTCTCTTCACATATGTCCAAACTGAAGAAATATTTAGGGATTTCGGGTTATACCTTAGCCCAAGAGGTGAGGTCTCGATTGAGTTTGTTCCTGAGCTTCGCCTTGAGTCCACGAACGTACTCCAAGTGTTGGTTCGAGCTAAAGTAAGGTCTATGTATGATATCAATCGGAGGGTGACTCAACCTTGGTCTAGGACTATGCTAGAGTGCTCGGGAGAGGGAGCTTTTGATTAGGTAAGTGGTTTTAAGATCTAGGGAAGCTTATTGGATGATTGATTTGGATTTCTAAAGAGTTTGATTGCAAGGCCGTGAAATGCCCTAGATTTCAGTGGTTAAATTAGGCTCGGATGGAGGGAATGAGTGGTTGAAGATGGTTGGATTGCACTTAGGAACACTGTGAGGAGCTCTGAGAGCAATATGACAGAGTTTCCTCTTAGTTCTTGCGCCTCTTCCATTTTGGCTGTGAAGGGGAGTCATTTATAACTCAGGCCAGGAGGGAGGCCCTGGGCTGCCATTGGCTGGTGCCATTGGCTTGGTGCCATTTAGCTTAGGTGGAGAGGAATTAGGCGCAAGTGACCAATTGGGATTTGCCGCATGGGATGGGTGAGAATTTGGGTTTGAGTCATGGCCACCCTTCTCAGTTTTGGGTTTTTCGGCCACTAGGATGGTCAACCAGACCAGAGGTGGTGGCTAACTGACTCGGGGAGGTCAGAAGAGGGTTTAATGGTGATTAGCTTTGAGGTTTAATCAGATGATGGCATAGATGAGTCATTTAACCAAATTAGAGGGGGTTTCCACATTTTGAGGGACCATTGGTCCATGGCGCCAAGTAGGGTTGGCTAAGTGATGTGATTAGCATCTTAGGACATGGTTGTGGCAATTAGGCTTTTGATTAATCTAAAAATTTAGACTAAGTTTTGGTTTTGGGCTTGGATTTGGACTTGGACTTGGTTTGAGCTTGGATCTAAATCAATTGAAGGCTCAAATTGGTCTTGAAAAATGTCATGATGAATTTGAAAAATAAATTTTGTGAAATTGGATTGGTTATGTGGATCAATTTGATGAAATTTGGCTTTGGGGCCAATTTGGGGTAGTTGACTTGGGCTTGGGAATTGGGTTTGGAATTGGTGTAAGTGGGTTTGAATTTGGTTTAAATTGGGCTTGAATATGATGATATTTAATTTGAATTTGAAATTGGGTGAGTTTGAAATGAATTTGGTAAAAATTATGAGTGATTTGAGGGCTTTAACGATTTAGGGGTAATTTGAAATTTTGGTCAATTTTGGTGGATTTAGGGGATTTTGGGTGCAATTAGGAACATTAGGTGGTTAGAATTGTTTTTCGTGAAGTTTTGATTGAAATTAGGGATTTTGAGAATTTTTTAGCATTAGGGGCATGTTGGTAATTTTTTGTGGTATAGAGGTATTTTGGGAATTTTGGGGACTTTAGGGTGAATTTCGGCAATTTAGATGATTTAGAGTGGTTCAACATGATTTTTGGTAAAAATTTGAGAATTTGGGTAACTTTGAGGATTTTAGAGTTTCAAGAGCATTTTAGTAATTTTTTATAAATTTAGTGGCAGAAGGTCAAGGTTAAGTATTTTGGTGCAATTGAAATTAGTTGGATATGATGACCATGTCAGCCATGAAGCCACCCCCTCAAGCCATGAAACTCATAGGAGAACTCAATTTGGATCCCTCACATATTGATCCTAGCCATCTTAGCCAAAGACTAAGGGCTTGGGACCACTCACATGAGTTTCCAAAAGAGAAATAGGAGGAAGGTTAAGAGTGAGTGATTTTATGGTTTTGGAATGTGTGAGTGTGACCAAGACCAAGCAACCCAAGATTGCCCTAAAGTTTCACTGATCATATTGGAACTCATCATTGAATCTTCACATGTTGGTTTTAACCATCTCAAGTGAGAAATGAGGGCTTAGAACCACCCATGTGAGACTTCGCAATAAGAGCAGAAATGAGGGCTTAGAACCACCCATGTGAGACTTCACAATAAGAGTCAAGAAGTATTTAGAATTTCTATGTGGGAGGGTTCCATCATTAGTCCTCTAGGATAGTCATCAAAAAAGTCGTATAGTTAGATCCTAGTCTTCTAAAAAGGAGAAACTAGACATTATCAAAAATAAGAACAACAGTCACAAATTAAATCTTCAGCCCGTTGTAGAATGATTTTATTACTCTTCATTAATTATATGAATAAATAAGGGCTTTAATTTCTTCACAACAAAATGAGAAAACTTATCCTAGAAGTTTTATGGAAATAGCTTGAAGTAAAAGTGTTGTGGCTGAATGAATCAGACAACACATATTTGGAACCATCTTTCACTTATCATGTAAAGACTCCTGATTTCAAATTTCTCTAAATATTCAAAGAACTAAACTAGTTCCACATTTATGTGTCATCTCTCTTTATCATTTGGAGATTATTGCTCATGTCTTTCTCATATTTAAATTTTCCAAATTGTTTTGAGAGAAAACACATTGAGGATTCTCCTCAAGTCATTCTTTACTTGAATGTCTCCCAAGAATACAAAATATAAAAAGTATAAATATGGAATTACGTGACTACAACAATACAAAATAAAAGTAAATTATAAAGTAGAAAATGAAATTTACCTTGGATTTAAAAACTCCAACCCATTAAAAGTAAATTACAAATACGAAAAGGCATGAAAAAAAATAATAATGTCTCGTAACCTCCCATTAAAGCAATTACAGACGCAATTTTCTACCTCTTGCCCTCTATCTCCAATAAATAGGGGGACCGTAACATATATTATTTGCCTTATTTTGGGCTGGCAAAACGGCTCGTTGTTCGAGAATAGCTCGTGTTCGACTTGTTAAGAAGCTCGTGTTCGACTCATTAATTTCGTTTGATAAATGTAGTATTTTAAAAAAATCTAATTGACTAGAAGGCTACAAAGATTTATAATCAATTAAAATATTGATTAAGAAAATAGAATAAAAAGTCTTAAATTAGATTCAAATGATGTTTTAACATAAATAATAATTTTTAAATCTTTCTCAAACATTTATCGTCTTATGACTACGTGATTAGGGCGACGATATGATTAGGGTTGTTCAAAAGACTCTTCGTTTGTGAACAGCTCGTGTTTGACTCGTTAAGCAAACGATCCGAACATGAACACACTTTTTGAGCTCGAAATATAAATGAGGAGCTCAAAATATAAGCGAGTTGAACACGAGCGGCTCGCTTGTGTTCGGCTCGTTTACACCCCTAATTAGAAGCTTTTGGTCTCTAATCTCTAGACTCATATTCTACAAAGAGAATTATCTCTCATTCTCCCTTTTAACCCCCCACTTTTAATATATAAAATATGTCACAAAGCCCGGGAATACCCCAATTCAACCCTATTGGGCAAGTCCGTGTGTGCCATTTTATCTCTTTCTCTCTTTGCTTCTCCCTTCTCCCTCAAAGTTCCTACCGCTCTGATTCTTAACCCTAAACAGAACAAATCTAGATTCAATAAAAAAGAATGTATAAAACGTAATGTACAAATGGAAATTATCATAGACCGATAACCAAACCTCAAAAGAAAGAAGATCAAAAGTAATATCTCTCCAAAAAAGAGAGCAAAAAAAAAAAGACTCCATCAAGGAATAAACCGTTGAGTCCAAGAAAGAATAGAAACTCCAACCCTAAAAGAAATGCCCAAAGAAGTAACAGGACCAGCAAAAGCAAATCTTGCAGCAAAACCACCTAATTCAGGTTAAACCTTGCAACCAAACCAGCTATAAATAATATCCAAACCACCAAGAAAAACCACCTAATTCAGGTTAAACCTTGCAACCAAACCAGCTATGAATAATATCCAAACCACCAAAAACCTTCTAACAAGAACCCAGCCTACCACATAATAAAAAAATAGATAAGATAGAACAGTCGAACCACCCTATAAATAATATCCAACAAAGAAAGGTAGAGGCCATGCCCAGATCTAAAAATTCCATGATTTACAAAAGAGCAATCTAGTCGCAGAACCTATTTTTTCAAGAAAAAAAAAACAAACAGCGAAATGAACAGAAAGAAAGAATCCATGTTTGCGAAAAAGGAGAGGGTGGAATTGATACCAATGAGGATGAGGCGCCTGTCAGGCTTGGACGCGCACTTCATGCGGCGGAGGAGCTCCGCCATCAGATCCAAAGAGGGGACATCCTCCAGACTGACGCCGCTCTCTCCTCCGCTCGCCATTTCCACCGCTCTCGATCGAAGAGGAATTCAGGCAGTCTGAGTGCTTTGCATATCGTTTATCTGTCTCCACTATTTCATGGCGCTCGTACCTCGGGTCGGATGTAATTTTTTGTATTTATTTTTTATTTTTATTTAGAAAAGGCACGTCCAACCATATATTAAATAAAAAGCCATACAATCCTAGAACATAAAATACAATGTAAAATTAGCAATAACAAACCAACTACAAATAAATATAACTGAAATAACATCCAAATAAAGGACCAAACAAAACATAAAGAAAAAAATGATGCTATCGATGTCTATGATCACAACTTCAATCAAAATTATAATTAGATTAGAAACTGTAGCATCAGAAGTAACAGCAATGTGAATCATTCATCAAGGATCTGCTTATCCAACCAAAATCCATCTCCACAAAGTGCAGTAGAAGTTAAATCTTAAATGATAAGCAACGGCAATGGAAAATTGGGTCCAAAAACCTGCAAAAAGAAACCAACCAAAGAAGAGGACTAAAAAAAAAAACAGCAACAACTGCAAGTTCCAAAGAACAAATAGTCACAAACAGCAATAAAACAAACCAATAAACAAAGAACAGCAAATCCAGCCTATAACCAACACCAGATATAGCAGCTACAACAAAAAAAGAAGAAACAACAATTAAAAATCACAAATACAATTATAAACTTCATTAAATGGTAAAAAAGAATTTTGTCCAAATTTAATGAAGTAAACTAGCCAAATGATAACAAAAAGCAAATTCAATAAATAATTAAAAAAATAGCAATAATAAAAGACAAACCTAAAAGCAAGCCTCAAAACAAAAATTATAAGAAAATCTTCAAAATACATCAAAAATATTAACCAATAAATCAACAAACAAACCCACCAAAATAACAGCCAAAACCCCCTGAAAAACAACAAAAATCAATCAAGATTATTAAAAATCCTTAAATCTAAAATTGAAGTTGAGTTAAGAAAATTTTATTTGAGTTATGAAGGTTTGATTAAAGATGTTGAATCTTGGACTTAAAGATAGGATTGACTAAAGATTCATTCATATCCTTTGACTATCAATAAACCAAATGGTTTAGAGATCTCCACTTAATGCCATAGTGATGATAAATGTAGAACTTCTTACTATTAGGTGGTTTGAGATGCCTTTTGTTAGTGAACTTGAGTCATTTCATCCTAAGTCACCTAGATAGTTAAAGAAGGTTAGAGGTTGTTATTAAGTTATAGACCTTAGTATTAACTAGGGTTACCTAGTAACCTAGCCCAAGCTTCTAGACTAGAGTATTTTAAAGAACTTGTGATACTGATTTTTTTTTTCTGAGTTAGCTAACCTAGGGTTCATAATTGATCTTTCTGGTGGTGCTTTTCATTATTTTAGCTATGAGTTTTAGATTTATTTTGGTATTTGATATTTAATTCATGTTTGGTTCAAGTTCTTGTTTTTTGGTCGACATAAAAATCAAGGTGTTCTATGTCTAAGGTTTTGCATTTGGTTATCTCTCTTAAGTTGGTATTCTTTATTGGTTCTTTTCTTATGTTTAATTTATAGTGTTGATTTACTATTCTCTATCGAGGTTCACATTTCAAAAAGTATCTCATATATTTACCATCAATTCTTATATTTTTCTTACTTAAGTTTCATATACACACTTAATTTTTAATATTTTACTTTTGCCACATATAAAAATTATATATATATATATATATATATATATATTTTTTATCGCGCCATTTCGCGCCGAACACGAGCGAAAAAACTATTGTTCGTTTTTGGCTCGTTAGGCTTAATGAACGAGTCGAACACGAGCAGCTCAACAAGCCGAACGAGCCAAATTGACAGACCTAGATTTTGCATTTATCAGGCTTACCAACATAATTTATATATAATGTGTGTGTGTGTGACAAAGAAAGATACTTTGATTATATTAAGCATGCAAATTCATTTAGTGCAAAATATGTAAGTAGGATGTTATTCAAGACATGTATGCTTCAAAGTTAAGTTTATAAATTACACGTTCACAAATAAAACAATACTCATTTATAGATCATAAACGTAAACATGTATAATTCCTGCCCAAGTTACTTATTTATGAGAAAGATTTGCAAACTTATACAGTTTTGTACGAAAATCTAGACATTTTATGAGTTTTCGAGAGATTTTGAAAAAGGTTTTGTTTCAACCTAAAAATTTTTTGTTAGGTTTATTCAATTTTGAAAAAGTTCTTATTATGATTTAGTTTGAAAATATTTATTTTAATTTTTAAAATGAAATTATTTTTTTTGTTTGAATAAGGTATTACTCAAGTTAGTTTTGTAAAAATTTTGTTTATGTTAGCTTTATTTTAAAAAGATTTTACTTACGTTTGTTTTGTTTTTGAAAGGTTTTTGCTTAGGTTTATTTTAGTTTGAGAAAAAAGACTTTGTTTAGATCAATTTTAGTTTTAAAAAAAAAGTTTTTACTTAGATTTTTTTTTTTAACTTTTCTTTCAATTTTTTTAAAAAGATTATTTTAAAATTGGTTTTGTTTATGTTTTATTTAGATTTTATTTTGAAAAACATTTTATTCATACTTTATTTTTATTATGAAAGGGATTTTTTTTTATTTTGAAAAAGGTTTTACATAGATTTGATTTTATTTTGAAAATGTTTTGTTTATGTTTTACTTTTAGTTTTTCTTAGTTTTTCTTTATTTTTGATAATATTTTTGCTTAGGTTTATGTTGAAAATATTATTGTTTAGACTTATTTTAATATTGACAATTTTTTATGTTTAGTTTTTGTTTTAGTTTAAAAAAGGTTTTTCTTAAGTTTGAGTTTTTAATTTTGAAAAATTTTACTTAGTTTTTTTTTTTTAGTTTTGATTGAGGTTTTGCTTAATTTTGTTTTTAATTTTGAAAATTTTGACTTAGGTTTTGAAAGTGTTTTAGATTTGCTTTACTTTTAATATTGAAAAAGTTTTACTTGATTTTTTATAAGAGATTCACTCCATCTTTAAGCTTTACAATAGAAATTTTAGAATTTTTTTTAATAACTTGAGTTTAATCAATTCAAACTTTGAGAATAATTTTATTTATATTAAAAAATATTTTTTGAAATGAGATTATACATTATCTTATAATGATAATTTGATTTTATAACATAAATAAGCATATATTATCTTATAAAATTATTCTCTTCTTTTTTGAGCTTATAAAAAAAATTCTTTTATAACAAGGTTCAATTTTTATTAATCATTTTAAAAATATTTAATTTCGTGTTCATTTAAATTTATACAAATTTTATAAAAATAGTTAAATTTTTTTTTTCAAATGTATAGATTAACATACCTAACTATATAAGTTTTGCAAATCACTCTCTAAATACCTAATTTATGACAATAATCAATCCCAAGCTTGAAATCTCAATATATTTTCAACCTAGACATCCTAAATATGCTTTATACAAAATACAGAGGCTACAACATACTAACTTGCATGAAAAATAAAACCTAAGTATGGATTTCTATGTAACATAAGACTACAACTTGCATTTTTTTCCAAAACACATAAAATCACAACTTGCATTTTTTTATGGAACTTAAAACTGAAATTATATTTTTTAATTAAACAAAATACCACAACATTAATTTTTTGCATGAAACAAAAAACCCCAAAATCACAACTTGCATGTTTTGCATAAAACCATAAATTGCATTTTTTTTTCTTATGAAACATAAAACCAACAAAAAAAATTTGCATAAAACATAGTCACAAAAAAAAATTGCATAAAACATAAAGTCACAATTTATATTTTTTTAACATAAAATCACAACATGCTTTTTTTTATAACTTACATTTTTTTATCACACATGAAATCACAACATGCTTTTTTTTATGAAACATAAAATCACCACATAATTTTTCGCGTGAAATATAAAACCACCACTTGAATTTTTGCATGAAACATAAAGTCACCACATGGAACTTTTCATAGAAATAAGTCTAAGCTTAACTTTTAATGAAGCATAAGCCTAAGTGTGGATTTTCGTGGAAAATAAGCCTACACATGGAAAATTTCATGGAACATAAGTCTAAGCATGGAAAATTTCATGGAATAAAAGCCATAACATGGATTTTTTTTTTATAAGTATAAAATCATTGATGAAATTTTAAAAGGAGCCTAGTGTTAAGGTTTAGGCCATAGTAATTATGGTGGGAGTGTGTGTGAGTGAGTGGATGTTTCGACCAAGCAAAAAAGGAGAAGATCTAGAGATCTAGGGTTAAGGTTTATGCCTTAGGAAGTGAGTCATGTGTGTGTATGTGTGTATTTTTTTGGATGAGTGGATTTTTGGCTAAGGGGAGAGTGGATATTTCAACCAAGCAATAAAAGTAGGGATAGAGAGAGCTAAGGTTATGGTTTAGGCTATATCAATTGACGAGAGTTTGTGTTTGGGTGAGTGAAAATTTTCCCAAGGGGAAACATAGGTGATAGGGAGAGAGGAGAAGAAGATGAATGAGGGTATTTTTTTTTTGGTACGGTAGTGATTGAGAGAGGGTGGGAGCTTAGTGGGTAGGTTTCGGGTAGGGTAGTGAGGTAGAGAGGAGGAGAGCTTGATGGGTAGTCTTTTGGTGGGAGAGAAATGGAGCATGTGTGTGTGTGTGTGTGTGTTTAGATTAGAGCTTCAAATAAGAGAGAGATGGTGAGTGTATGTGGGCTAGGATTTTGGGTAAGAGAGAGAGAGGGTGAGTGTGATTGTGTTGGGATTTCAACTTAGGAAGAAAGAGTGGGAGAGGGTGTGATTGAGGGTTTGTGTGATTGGCAATGAAAGTCTGGGAGGAGGAAGAGAAAGGCTCTGTTTGGGTCATCGTAAAGAGAGGAGGATGTGGTGGGGACAGGCCGGGGTTTTTACCATAGAGGAACTGAGAAGGTGAGAGGGGAAAAGGGCTCAATTTGGATAGTGTTAAAGAGAAGAGAAAGGCCTAGGGTTTTGTCCATAGAAGAAAATAGAGGGAGAGAGAAAGAAGGAGCTCAGTTTGGCCAATGGAAGAAAAGAGAAGGTGGAAGAACAGGTTCATACCATGATTTCACCAAAAAAAAAAATTTAATGTAAAACTTA